AAGGTAGCTGGGAGGATCATATTTCATTGATAGAGTTCGTTTAGAACAATAATTATCAAGTGACAATCAGTATGACCCCGTATGAAGTATCATACGGGAGGCCTTACAGATCGCCTAGATGTTGGGTAGAGCCGGAGAAGAGTTTAATACTTGGGCCAGAGCTTATGAGACAGATTACTGAGGAAGTAACATTGACCAGAGATTGGATTCTAGCCGTTTAGAGTCGGCAAATGAGCTATGCTAATAAGAGATGAAAACCCTTGGAGTTTCAGATTGGAGATTCGGTTAGGCTGAAGGTATCGCATGTGAAAGGTGTTTAGCAATTCGGGAGACAGAAAAAACTTACGCCGAGATACATTGGACCATATCAGATTTTGAAGAGCATTAAAGCTGTGTCATACAGACTAGATCTTCCAGCATCGATATCTAGTATACACAATGCATTTCATGTTTCTATGCTTAGGAAGCACTTTCATGGTGTAGAGAAGCAGCGAATGATGAACGCACTGAAGATTTAGCTTTAGAATGATCTGACTACAATTGAAATCCAAGTTTGTACGCTTGCTAGAGAAGACAAGAAATTTAGAAACAAGATGTTTTTCCTTTGTGGCAATTCAGCGAAACCGGAAAGGAGTTGAGAAGGTTCTTAGGAGCGCGAGGAGGGTATACATCGCGACTACCCACACCTGTTTGATCTAGTAAATTAAATTTTTGTATGACTTGTTTATGGCTTATGGTTGTATGTATGGTGATGTTTATACTTAACACTAAAATGAGAGTATTACCACTTATCTCCTAAGTACTTGGAACATATGGTATATATATGAGGGGTTCCTTGTTTGGATTTTTCGCTCGATGTACTTGTTCCATTTAGTTAGATGTTAAGTGGGGGTATTTACATTTTAGATGGTTAAGTGTAGACATCGAATATGATTTTCGGGAGCGCAAATATGTTATGTCGCGCGACTTCCTACACCTATTGAGGAAGTGGATTGATTTATGTGTGCGATTATTTGTGTGGTTATATTTAGATTTAACGCTAGAATGAGGATATTTTCACTTAATTCTTAATCTTTTGGAACACATGGTATATATATGTGGGGTTCTTTGTTTGGATTTTTCGCCCGACGTACTAGATCCATTCAATTAAGGGTTGAGTGGGAATATAGTCATCCTGAATTGTTAAATATAAATATCCCTATATGTTTATCAAAAGTAAATATTCTGAGATGTTTATGTTTGTGGGTTAAATTAGACCCTCTACGTGCTTTTCTAGTATTATTATTTGCTTAAGTATGATTTCTGAATTTCGAGCACGAAATTCTTTTAAGGGGGGAAGAATGTAAAACCCCAAAAAATTTAAATATTTTATGATAAATAATAATAAATATGTTATATATTTATAAATAATATATTATGATGTTTGAGTATGCTAGGAATTGGTTTGAGATCAATTCAATGTATATATGTATATATAAGAGCAAATGCACAATTCATGCTCGATGTATAAATCTGGAAATTTATGACCAGCAAAGAAATTTTATATTTTTCTCACAGATTTAGCTAGAATTTGGAAAAACTTAAAAGCTAAAAGTTATAGGTATCTTCAAGATATTTTCAACAAGTCTTAGATCACCTCATTCTGAGGTCGGACGTGAAAGTTATGGCTAAAATACCGAAGGTTATTTTCCTAGTCAGATTAGGATTCCTGGTTCGGGTCAAACGGGTTTATTTCGGGTTTGCATATATATAAATATTTGTTTTCATAAAAATTAATATCCTTACATCAGAGTTTCAAAACCTAGCAGCCCCTGTTCCTCTCTCTAAATCCCTAGCCCTAAAGTTGAGAATTTTAAGAGCTTTGTGAAGCAAATATCGACACGAGGGCGAGATCATCAACGTGTAGCAAGGGGAAAACGGCTTGGTTGTACTTCTTTTTGGTTGCTGATTATTTTAGAGGTTTAGAACGATGTCTAAGGCAAGATTATCTTCATCCAAAGCCTTCCCTATAGTTAAATAACTAGTTAGATGTTTAATATGATGTTGAATATGTGTTTTCATGCTTGAATCTTAAAATGATGTGATAAAAGTTAAATTTTTGATGTTAAAATATAAACGAATGATAGATTAGTAAATTTTTTTCTTGCTGTCTATGATAGTATCATGATCATGATCATTAGGATTTTTTTTCATAATTTCATTTATATATGAGAAATTTAGATGTACTAAATAAATATTTTCTGCAGAAAACTGTAGCATGTTTAACTGAGATTTTGAAATAAAAAATAAACTCCAAATTTAACCAAACTAGTGCCAAATGAATGATATATGTATCTAGTTTCTAAAACAGAAGACTAATCTTAAAAATCATTTGTATAGAGAAAGATATGATCTTTTTACTAACAATATGTCCTGTAGAAAAACGGCTGCACATATATAATGTTTAACTGGAGATTTTGGATAACAAATGAACTTCAAACTGAACCAAACCCTTGTCATTTGATAGATGTGTGAATCTAGTTTTCAAAACAAAAAACCATTCTTAAAAAGAGTTTGTATAAAGAATGATATGTTATATTTACTAACAACATGTCCTGCAGAAAAACGGATGCACATATATAATGTTTAACTGAAGATTTGGGATAACAATGAACTCGAAACTGAACCAAACTTATATCATTTGAAAGATGTATGAAGCTAGTTTTCAAAACAGAAAACCATTTGTAAAAATAGTTTTCCTAGAGAAAGATATGCATATTTTACTAACAGATATCACGTCTGTTTTTCCTGCTCGTTTTGTGGAGCTGTGTTGCGCCGTTTTGAGGTGTGTTCACGGAGTTTTGAGCCGTTTGATGTTATACGTATAGTCATGAATATGTTATGTTATACATTTAAGAATCCCAAGGGGATTATGATGAATTTTGATTTGATCATATTTGAATTAGATATAGTTCATATACACGTTGTATGTCGTTGATGAGCACAGCTCAGTACTATATGGGATAGTGCGTCGACATATCAAATATACATGGTTTATACATGAGCTGAATGTTGTTGATGAGCATAGCTTAGTACTATATGCGATAGTGTGTCGATATACCTGAGATATAAAGATTTATATGAGGTGGATATCGTTGATGAGCTCAGTTCAGTACTACATGAGGTAGTGCGTCGATATTCCATATGTACAGGCCATTGAGTCGGATTTTAGGAGGCTTAATCTAGTCATCCGTCCCGCACTAGGGTGCGATGAGGCTCGTGAGCCGTATTTCTAGGATGCCTATTTGGTAGTCTGTCCCGCACTAATGTTATGCACTGAGATCGCGATGTGACTAATGAGCCTTGTACACAGTTCAGTATACCTACAGGGTAGTCCGTTGCACTGAGACAGTTACTTGATAGCCTAAGTATGGTAGATGCCGATTATGAATACGACCTATCATTGAACTATATGACTGAGATATGTTACTTTTGAAAGTATACAAAAATTATGTGTTAGTATTTTATTCTATCTCTTCAGTGATAGTGGAAGATATTATAAATACGATATGTTGATATCTTATTTCTTTTACTGTCTTTTTTACTTCTTAGTTGGGATCAATGATTAAAGATTCACAATTTGAGACTTATGGTATATACATGAGGGTTTCCTTGTTTGGATTATTTCGCTCGACGTACCAGTCTCGTGTTATGAATTTCTAATTATTGGTTTTATTATATTGTCTTTTCTTAGTTCGGTATTAATGTTTAGATATCTACAATTTGAGACTTATGGTATATACATGAGGGTTTCCTTATTTGGATTATTTCGCTCGACGTACTACGTCTCGTGTTGTAGGTTTCTAAATGTTAATCCCACTTAGATACGGGGAAAATAAATCTAGGTAGACTATGGTCAATAGATAGAGCCTCCACTTCATCTAGCAGCCCTTCCCCTGGGGGCGGATGGAGGTAATCTTGCTGTAGCCCTCTGACGCTCTTGTTGTTGTTTCTTTTTTTTAAAATACCCTTTCAGGTAGCTCGGAGTTCCGGAGAGCCGCAGGATGACGGAGTTCTGGCATAGTCGCCATTGTGTATTTTTACTTATAGAGACTCCACTGTAGTTTTAAATTTTATTCAGACTTAGAGTTTATTTTCATATTATAATGGCAGTGTGCCTTAGTACGATTCTTAGTTGATTCATGTTGAGATATTTTTATTATTTAGATATCAGATGTATTATAGTTGAGACATGATTCTTTTTATTTATGAGATATCTCTTCTATATCATGTCTATTACATTTATTCCCTTTATTTTTCCTGTTTGTACCTGCACTTCTATTTGGTTCTACTAGAGGATATTACTGTGATTGGTGAAACATATTTATGCACAGTGTGAGTGCATGGTAGGTTTGACATCTCTGGTTTCACATTGGACTGCAGCCTTGTGTGAACCCAGGGGCGTCACACTCTGACGCTGCTGCTCTCCTCTCTCTCTCAACTCTCTCTCCTCCCTCTCCCCCGTTATCTCTCCTCTCCCCCACGAGATCTCCGTTGCCGCCGTGACAACTCCGCCACCTCCACGATAACCCCCTCAAACTCTTTGGTCTTTCAGGTAAAACTTTCTATGCTGGAATATGGTGATCGCCGTCACTTGCCCATATGTATCCATCCCCTCCCTATTTTCTTCATTCATCATGTTAATATCGCATATTAGGGTTTGTTTGTTAACATTGCCTTCTAATGACTCTATCCTCTATGACGTAGCTACTAGTAATACAACTTTGTCCACGACCACTCCTACGCCGCCGTGACAACTTCGCTGTGATATCCCGTGATCTCTCTCTCAAACTCTGGCTCCTTGGTCGTGACCGTGACTACCACCGTCCTTGTCTTCCGACAGTGCCGCAGCCTCCTTCCTCCGACGCAGCCTCGAACGAGCAACAATGGAAGCCTCTTCTTCTCATGAAGTCATCTTGTCGGAGGCCTCCTCCTCAAGCAAGTGACAATTGTCGATAACAATGGCTCTAATTGAGAAGGTAATAAATTTTATATGTGCTTAATTTTATTCTGCGATAGAACTTTTGATTAATATTTAATTGGAGGAAAGATTGGATTTTGAATGAATTTATGTCGGAATAATATATGTGGGCAAATATTAGTTAGATTAATAACCAAAGCAAATGAAATATGATCAAAGGGTCTGCGATAGCATATCCACTATCTTACATGCACTGACAGTATAGACCCAAGTAGAAGAATTCAAGTAACATTGACCGGCGAAGGTCACACATGTTGGCAACATGCATATTTTGTTTAGCATGTACCACATGTCCCAATAGTTCTAGAAAAATAAAAAAAAGACTATAGACACCATTTCCAAAAGCCTAAAAACCATAGAACCAATAAGAGAGATTAGAAAAAGTAAACGCTTACCTAAGAGCATTGCAGGTATGGAGAGGATCTCATTGGAGAAATTGAAATCCGGACTGACAACGAGCATTTTTGCCATCTGCAAGTCGAGAGGAAACTCGCTCATGATAATCTCACCCAACTTGGTCTAAGTTAGATTTTATTTCCCTAGTGATGTTTTGTAGTCTCAGTTGCTAAATACTAAGCATCTTGATGTATTAAATCTTTCATAATTTGGTGAATGAATAAAGTTTTTTCATTGGCAAAAAAAATATTAGTTATATTTTTTGTCAGAATAATATATGTCGGCAAATATTAGAGAATTGTGAATATTTGGTGTGTGTAAGTAAACTTCTAGGATAGATTTACATTATTTTTAAATTTATGGCTAATAAATTCATATGATGTTTTAATACTACAGAATTGTTGAATGGAGGATGGCCAAATTAGTGCTGATGGTATTCCATTTGAAGGAAAAGAGTTTTAGACGGACAATGATGCATACAACTACTACAATGCATATGCAAAGAAGATTGGGTTTGGAATTCGCAAAGATACTTTTGAAAAATCAAAGAAAGCTTCAAGAGAGATTCTTTCGAGGACTTTTGTTTGTGATAAAGCGGGGGAAAAGAGAGCATCGACTGAAAATGCAAGTGGATTGACTATCAACCGTCGTCCGGAAACTAAAGTAGGTTGTGGTGCAAAAATGAAGATTATGCTTACTTCTTCAAAAGTTTGGAAGGTTACTAAGTTCATTTCTGAGCATGTTCATCCTTTAACAAGCCCTAATAAAGTAATGCATCATCATTCTCACAAGCAGCGACATAGATCGAAGCATTGCATTAGCCTCATTGAGTTGTTGCATGAAGAGGGAATGAAACCATCTAATATCAAAAAGGTGCTTAATGTTGGATATCAAGGACAAGATGTTGAACAAGTCACCACACAACAGATGATTGATCATATCAGAAAGGCAAGGCAAAGTAACATAGGCTGTGAATATTTAAACATAATTAGACATTTCCAAGATAGAAAGGAATCAGATCCAGATTTCTATTTTGCTATGGAGGTCGATCACTTTGGTACCCTGAGAAGTGTGTTTCGGGCCGATGGTAGAGCTAGAGCCTCTTATTTAAGACTTGGAGATGTAGTTGTGTTTGATACCGCATACAAGACTAATCAGTTGAGTATGCCATTTGCTCCATTTATAGGAGTAAACCACCACCGTCAATCCACCCTCTTTGGTTGTGCATTGCTTGCAGATGAGCGAGAGGAAACCTTCGAGTGGTTGTTTTCACAATGGCTCAAGTGTATGCATGGGGTTGCACCAAAGGCTATCATAACTGATCAGGATGCACAGATAAAAAAAGCTATTAAGAACATTTTGCCAAATACTCAGCATCACTTTTGTTCTTGGCATATTAGAAAGCATATTGTTGAGCAAAAAGTAAAGTTGAAGAGCCAATACGGGGATGAGATGCCTACATATTTCAACAATTGGTATTCTTCTAGAAGTATAAGCAAATACGAAGATTGTTGGGAAGTCATAAAGGTTAAATTCAACATAAATGAAGGTGAAGATAGTTGGCTGACAAGAATGTGTAACTTGCGTGAACATTGGGTAGATGCATACTTGAAGGACTATTTTTGGGCGGGAATGACAACAAGCCAAAGGAGTGAGAGCATCAATGCCTTTTTTGATGGCTTTGTCAATGCAAACACTAGACTAGTTGAGTTCGTGGGTCAATATGACAAGGCAGTGGCATCTCGTCGTGCATCAGAATCTCATGAGGACTTCATGACTTTGAACACCGTGCCTGCGATGAGCTTCTCAAATCCGATTGAAGCGCAAGTTGGAAATATATACGCCAGGGCGATCTTGAAGATGTTCCAAAAGGAGCTTGGTGATGTGATGTCATTACATCGTGAAGAAGTGTCAAAGGAGGAGTTGAAAATTGTATACTTGGTTGGAAAATATTTTCAAAACAAAGAGAATTAGGAAGAAGTAACCTATGAAATAAATAGTGAGCTTAACGTTGCATGCACTTGTTCATTTTGGGAAACTAAAGGAGTGCTATGTAAGCATATACTGAATGTATTGTGGCTAAACCAAGTGACTTCTATTCCTGAAAGGTATATCTTGCCTAGATGGAAAATTGATGCAAGGTATAGATATTTTGGCTTTGTTAATGCTATGAAGTTGCAACAAAATGATGATAGCATGGAGCGGGGAAGTATTATAAGATTATGGGCTTTAAGAGGAAATTTTAATGAAGCACTTGATATGGTAGCGGGCTCGAATGATCTTCTTTCTAAGTTGGAGCAACAAATATCAAACTTCCTTGCAGAAGCAAGGGAGGAAGCAAGGCTCAATATGTCACAAACTCTAGATTCTCAAGTTGAGAGTCACATAGATTCAAATACTCATGTGCTTATATTGAAAGATGGTGAGGAAATTATGGTTCGTGATCCTCTCGGCCCTGTGAAACCAAAGGGACGTCCAAAAAATTCAACTAGGACTAAAAGTGGCTTGGAAGAATCGAAAAGGCAAAAAGAGGTGAGACAGCGAAAATGTGGTCATTGTCAACAATTGGGCCACTATAGAACGGGTTGTCAATTGTTGGTAAGTTCAATTTAGTTCGTTTGTTTTACATATTTTTTATATATTATTTTTTGTTTTACTTTTCTTGAAATATAACTAATTGATTTTTTTGTTTTTCATTTTTAGAAAAAGCAAAAGAGATAGCTTGTGGGATAGTTTGCAAAAGTATTTTGGAGGTCAAGAACAATGTGGTGTTAAATGATGTGGTTGTTTATTGACCTATTTGGTTGTTTATTATCTAATTTGGTTGTATGGGATTTTTATTATGGCAACTGTTAAGCTATCAATTGATCGAGCTTTTGTAGCATTGCTCTAACTCTTGTTGATTACGGGTTTTGTTTTGGATTTATTACGAGAAAGGAGTCATTTCTAATGTTGTTGTCTCTGTCATTTCTAAGTCATCATATCTCTTTTTATGTCGTAATTATGCGTCGAACTCTTCAAACTCAAGTACTGAGGCTGATGCTTCATCACCGCCTGAAGGTTTGGTTAGAATACTTCTATACGCATGAGTTTGATCTTCTATTCGCATGAAATCAACTAGGTAAAAAGAACATAACAAAAAATAAATAGCCATCCAATATTTTAAAAGAACTTCATATGTATTATCAAATAGTTAACAATAATAGGGAATCATGATATCCTTGACAGGGAAGGTTTTTGAGGATTAATTTTCATCTCTTATTCAAATGATATTCCTATAATTTCTTCATCATAAAATATTATGAAAATACTTCTTATTCTCTGTCAATATGCGATACTTCCGATTATTGACGTCTTTAGTTTCTGTTAATAAAAATCGAACAACTAATTTCCAGTATTTCATGATATTTAGATTACCTTATGAGGATCCGTCTTTAGCTGTTACACACATGCAAGATACATATTATTAGCATCGTTTTGGATTTAGTATGAGAAAGGAGTCATTTCTAATTTTGTTCTATTCATTGATTGAAATAATATTACTCCCCAACAACAAAATAATTCTCGCCCAATAATTTTATCAACACTTAGGATCAAAAATCATGTGTCACAACTCATATACACATTCATTCGTTCGTTCGTTCACACAAGAATAAAAAAAAAGATCTAATACTCCTCGCAACTCATTGAAGAATGCCATGGCACACCACAACTAGAGCATAAAAGCCTAGAAAAGCCTACAACATTCTTCACACTCAACACAATTGATCTCATACTGATTTGACAAACTTGCCCTTGAAGCTGAACGTTGTCCTGGACTAAACTTGCCCTGGATACTCCTCGTAACTTTATAATTTGAGATTGTTGCTTCTCTTCACAGCAGCAACTTACTATGAGTAAATAACTTACGACCGTAAAGAAAGAACCTCACAATAAGTACAATAAGTATAATGAACCTCACAATAACTATAATCAACAAACAAAAAAGTGAGCACATGAAACCACATAACTAAGATGATTATTTTTACAGTCACCGAGGTGTGGTAGTGACTGACAGAAACTTGGGTTGCAGAGACTCAAAACTTTTCTCTGTAGGTTTTAAAAGAAACAGAGGTCTGCAGGTTTTAAAAGAAACAGAGGGAATGGAAAATACACACACTTTCTCTTTTATTAACGAAGGAGAGATTTTTGCTGGGGATGCTTTCATTCACAGCAGACCCCCTCTATTTATACAAGAAAACCTACCAGCTAACAAACTCCCAAGACTTTTTCACTGCTACAAATTCTCCATATGAAACGTTCTACTCTCTGTTGAAGCTAACAACCCACTAGACTAGGTCCTCTTCTAACAAACTAACAAACTCACACTTGTTAAAGCTAACACCCCACTAGACTAGGTCCTCTTCTAACAAACTAACAAACTCACACACACGTGCAACAAGTTTAACTCAACATTCTCCCCCCTTAAACTTGTTGTGTCTTCTTCACATTTCTTACCCCGATCTTGGTCCGCAGTTTGACGAATCTCTGACGCCCAAGAGGTTTTGTTAGCATGTCGGCAAGCTGTTCTCCCGTTTTCACATACTCCACTTCGATCTCCTTCTTCTGGACACAATCACGTATGAAGTGATACTTTGTGTCTATATGTTTGCTTCTATCATGGTACACTGGGTTCTTCATGAGAGCAATGGCTGACTTGTTATCGATTTTGAGAACTGCCATCACGTTCTTCTCCACAATCATTTCTCCAAACATGCGACCCAACCAAACTCCTTGGCAAGCAGCCGCTGTGGCAGCTACATATTCCGCCTCACAAGAGGATAGCGCCACCACTCTTTGTTTTTGTGACACCCAAGTGATTGGGCTTGCACCAAGAAACACGTGCAACAAGTTTAACTCAACATTCTCCCCCTTAAACTTGTTGTGTCTTCTTCACATTTCTTACCCCGATCTTGGTCCGCAGTTCGACGAGTCTCTGACGCCCAAGAGGTTTTGTTAGCATGTCGGCAAACTGTTCTCCCGTTTTCACATACTCCACTTCGATCTCCTTCTTATGGACACAATCATGCATGAAGTGATACTTTGTGTCTATATGTTTGCTTCTATCATGGTACACCGGGTTCTTCGTGAGAGCAATGGCTGACTTGTTATCGATTTTGAGAACTGCTGTCACGTTCTTCTCCCCAATCAATTCTCCAAACATGCGACCCAACCAAACTCCTTGCAAAGCAAGCTACATATTCCGCCTCACAAGAGGATAGCGCCACCACTCTTTGTTTTTGTGACACCCAAGTGATTGGGTTTGCACCAAGAAAGTATATGACTCCTGTGGTGCTCTTGCGGTCGTCGACATCTCCGGCGAGATCACTATCACTGTACCCTATCAACCCAGCTTCTGACTTCATCCTTCTTGCAAAAACGCAGCCATGATTGATGGTACCTCACACATACCGCAGTATCTGTTTCACTGCTGCCATGTGAGCTGTAGTTGGAGCTTCCATGTATCTACTCACCACCCTAACAGAGTATGCAAGATCTGGCCTGGTATCTACCAAGTACCGTAGACTCCTGACGACACTTCTGTACATGAAAGTGTCAACTGGAGGGCTCGCATCCGTCTTGCTCAGCTTCATTCTCGGCTCTATGGGGACTTGGCAATGATTGCAATTTGCCAACTTCAGCTTTTCTAGAATCTTCATAGCATATCCCGACTGACTTATCGTTATTGCATTCGGATCCTGCCTCACCTCAATTCCAAGATAGTAACTCAAGAGCCCGAGATCACTCATCTCAAACAATCTCTTCATTTGCTCCTTGAAAAACACAATGTCCTTGACATCTGATCCGGTGATGATGAGATCATCTACGTAAGCCCCCACAATTTGAACTGCATTACCTTGCCGCTTCTTGTACACCACATGCTCGAGAGGGCACCTTTCAAAACCGAGTGATTGAAGGCATTTGTCGAGCTTTGCATTCCAAGCGCGAGGAGCCTGTCGTAGCCCGTACAATGCTTTCTTCAACCTCAATACTTTTTCTTCTTGGCCTTCTTCTACAAACCCTTGTGGTTGTGCCACATAGACCTCCTCCTCTAGCTTGCCATTTAGGAATGCGGACTTGACGTCCATGTGATGTACCTCCCAGTCTTCTTGTGCTGCTAAAGCGATCAACATCCTCACGGTCTCGAGCCTTGCGACTGGAGCGAATACTTCGTTGCAATCCACACCTTGCTTTTGTACATACCCCTTTGCCACGAGTTGAGCTTTGTACTTGACCACATCACCTTCCGGATTCTTCTTGACTTTATACACCCATTTCAGACCGATTGGCCGATGACCTTTCGGAAGATTAGCAAGTTCCCAGGTGTGATTCCTTTGTATGGTCGCAATCTCCTCTGCCATAGCTTTCTTCCAGCAGTCACTATCCTCAGCTTCTTCAAAAGTTGTCGGCTCCTCGACGGAGAGGAAACACAGTGCTGCCTCTCCTTCCACCTCACGGGTCTCATCATATATTTCCTGCAAGCTACGGTATCTCAAAGGTTTTTCAGAACTTGTTGAGGAATCAGGTGTACCTTCGTGTAATCTGGAGTTCCTGGAGTGTTCTTCCTGTAGTTGTTCTTCCTGCTGTTGTCCCGCGCTGTCCACGGAGGCTGGAGTTCTCGGTTCTTGGTCAACTTTTGCCTGCACCGGCTTATAATGCATTGTAAACACCTCATTTGAGTTGCACATCTTGTGACTTTGTGTGGTGAAAGACTCACAGTTCCATTCTCTGTCTTCATCAAAAATTATGTCACTGCTCACGTGCAGCTTTTTCTGGTCTGGATCATACACCCGGTACGCTTTTGATCTAGGTTCGTAGCCGAAGAATACCATCGGTACACTCCTATCTGACAGCTTCTTCAAGTGTGGGCTCATTGTTTTGACATGTGCCAAACAACCAAACACTCGCAAATGTTGGACATTCGGCTTTCTTCCCGTCCATGCTTGATATGGTGTCGTTCCCTCCAGACTTTGAGTCGGCGCTCGATTAAGTAAATATACCGCAGTCCTCATAGCTTCCCCCCAGAATACCGCCGGTACATGCTTACTCTTCAATAGACTTCTTGCCATGCTCAAGACTGTTTGGTTTCTCCTTTCAACTACGCCGTTCTGTTGAGGAGAGTACGGTACAGTCAGATATCGTTTCATTCCCAACTCTTCGCAGTAAGATGTGAATTCATTTGATGTAAATTCACCTCCCCGATCAGTTCGAAATGCCTTCAGTTTGTTCTCAGCTTCTGCCTCAACACTTGCCTTGAACTTCTTGAAAGCATCAAATGCCTCACTCTTGTTTTTCAGCATTACTACCCACATATATCTACTATGATCATCCACTAGTAGCATAAAATATTTGTTACCTGCCGGCGTAGCCGGTGTGATCGGGCCACAGAGGTCACCATGCACGAGTCCAAGCGGCTTGTCGGCTCGAAAACTTGTGCTATGAGGGGGGAAGGGAGCTCTGTGGTGTTTGCCAATGGTACAGCCATCACAGATTTGTGTCACGTGCTCTACGGCAGGCATGCCGATCACCATCTCCTTCAGGGCCAACTTCCTCAGGGCTGGAAAGTTCAAGTGCCTATACCGAGCATGTCAGCGCCACGCACAATCTCCTAGGCTACCCATCAAGTACACTGGATGAACCACCTTGAGGTTGACTATGTACAACCTATTCTTAGACTTCCT